CATCCTTAATTGGTGGGTTAGGTCAATTTTGGGAGTATAGTTTTTCCGTCTTTTTGGGCAGAGTCTCTTTTTGTGTTCAACATTTTGTTCTTTCCTATCTTTTTGTCTTTAGTTGTGTCATTTTTTCTAAAACAGTTTATTGTGTTTTGTGTTTTTCTTTTGAGTTTTTGGTGTTTTTTGTCTTTAATAAGATTTGAAAGTGGGTTTCAAAAGAATATTTTATCCAGTTTTAATCTGGATTTAACCTGGTTTGAGTACCATGGGAATTTCTTATACATGCGTTTGGTTTTGTGGCAATAGTAAGCTGCGTTGGTTAGTTTGAGCTTATTTATAATTCCTTCCAACCGTGTTAAAGGAAAGTTTTAAAACGCGTGAAAGTAAAATTAAGTTTGTTGTCAGTTAGTTTTGAGAACTTAAATTTTAGTCATTCAAAAGTTATAAGAGGGCAAGTTAACTTATTTTTTTGAACAAAAGTGTCCAACATGGGCGAGTGATTGGCAAGTAATTGAAATTTATAAAAGAAGCACACCGAAAAAAGTAAGTTTTCATTGATTTACTGCCTTTTTTAAATTACTACTTTTTTTTAATTTTTTTTTAAAATATTTATCAATTTATTGCGTGGTTTTTTCAAATTTTTTGCGTGGTTAATTTTAGCTCACTGGGATATTCTTTGATACATAGTTAGGGTTGAGAATAGAAAATTCAATTGAGTTTTATTAATTTTATTATTTATTTCTTACATGATTGCTGTGTGAAATTTAACAAGAAAAGTTGAAACACTTTTGTCAAAACAGTGAATTGTTGATTATTTTACCATAGTGATAAAAATTTATTTTAACGAGGGCTCAGGATTGGTTGAAAATCTATCGGGAAGGTGAGTTGTAATCGGAGATTCTTAGAAGCTTAACGAGCATGCGTATTCGAGTTTCAGTGCGAAGCGGCGTCCAAAAAGTTTCCAGCGCTCTGATGTTGTTGACTTCCTCTTAAATAGCTGAGACTTCGTGTTTTGAGCTTTGTAATAGACTGTGAAATTTGTGGTTAAATGTAAACTTATATCTTTTCTAACATTGCTATTTCGACGAATTGAATATTTTCTTGTAAAATGTTGATGGGACGGGCGTATTCTATCGGGAAGTTAATTGTTAAGGGGCAAAAAATATTTGTTTGACGAATTAAGTCGCAGTTTGGGATGGTGCCGAGTAAGTTACATGATTTAAGACAGTATGTGAAGTTTAAGAAGTAGGGAGAAGAATATTTCGAATTGATGAAATTATAGCTATGGTCTGGAGTACGGGGAGGTGAACTCTGTATATAGTGCCGTTGTAATAATATATAATAAGTGTAAGTTTTTTTGACTTGCTTTTTAACAGAACATTATGTGAGCAGAGAAAATTTCATTTTTTTGGTGTGATAAAAAAAAGTTAGTGCAAAGTGATTGGTTTTGTTGAAGAATGGTTCATAAGCTTTTGTGTTGGTTATTGAGTGTTTGAAAATGCGACCGAATTTTTTATTTGTACTGTCCAGATGAAAAATATAGTCTGATTTTCTGAAGAATTTTTCAGTTAGTTGTGGGTTAAAATTAGGGTCATCGTCATGCAATCAATCTCCCAATTATCTAGTTCCATTGTTGTCATGGTAGTTAACAGAGAATCGGTTAGCTTTGTGAGCAATAAATCTGTTTAGTGTTTAATTTGAACTTGTGTTGGTGAGTTAAGTCAATTTGGGTGTGATAGTTAGTTGTAAAAAGATAAAGTCACAATGTTCGTTGTCATCGGGGTCGTTCATCAGCAGTAGTTGCAGTGTATTAGTAAAACTATAATGGGAGATGAAAGTGTTGGGAGTAGCAAGTGTTCATCCACATATTGTGCACGTTGGTTTTCGTTTCCTCCCTTACAGCGTGTGTGTTGAGCGAAGAATGGTGAGTTATACATTAAAAAGTCTGGCATGGTAGTATGATATGGGTCGGGTTGAATGAAATCTAGTTGATGGTGGGCGGCCATTGAGGCATTGTTGTGTGGTTGTTGGGTGTTTTCGTTTCAAGAAAGTTCTTTGTGCACGAGTGAGTGCAGAGAGAATAGAGGATCCGGAGGTTGAGGCTGAGTGGTTTAGTTGGTGGATTGTTAATGAATTATTTGTGTTATGTATATGTTGGTTGTTGGTGAGTAACAAATTCGTCTAGGCCATGTTCTAGTTGGTCATCGGTGATAAGGCTGGGTACACCCAACTCATTACTTGATAAAGATGAAAGAATAGGTGTACCGTCAGTGTGCGATGAAAGGGAAAGAGAGGGTTCAACAGGGGTCGGAGAAAGGATGGGTTGTAAATGTGATTGAGAAAAATTTGTGGGGCTGGGTTCAGAGTCGAGGAGTTCATCGGGGCTTTCTGTTTCCGAGTTACTAAAACTAATGTTGCTAACGAAAACTGTTTTACATTAGTCATCTGAATCCATGCTTGGTGGATTAGAAGAAAAACTGGGTAGGGGCGAAGAGGTAAAGTCTGAAATTGTTAGTAGTAAACCGTGGCGTTAGAGGTCGGGTGAATAGGAAGGGCAATGGTTGAGGGATTCAATTTGTTGGCTCATCGTGGACTAAAAAGATGATTTTCCCGAGAAAAAAACTTAAATCGTGCGGTTGTTATTTAATTGGTTCATATATGAGATATGGGACTACGTTTCGTGCGGTGGTCGAATTGTTTTTTTTTAGAAATTTTGTTGGACTAATGATAAGTAATGCTTGTTGTGTTAGATGTGTAAATGTGATGGTGCTGCTGGTATCGTAGTTATGTTGTTTTTTTTTGTATTCACTATATTTTGCGTGAAAAAAAATCCTAATAGCGGTGGAAGGTATTTGGATGAAGCCTGCAAAAAATAAGCGTGCTACGCTAGCCTGTCTATTGACTTGTGTCTGTATTGCGCTTGTTTTAGAGTTTTCATTTATTAGTGAGAAGAGAAATCTTATGAAGTTAAACATTGCGTATAGGATAGTCAACCGTTCTAAGACATAGTAGAGCCATCCTAGAAATGCTAGGGTTACGTTTTTCATCTTAAAAATTAACGAGTGGTGAAGTATCTTGTGGGCATATTTTACTCCGCTTAGGTATATCTAGTCTTAAATGTCTTTTACAAAACCACTGTAGTTTTGTTGCTAAAT